TGTGTGTGTGTGTGTGTGTGTGTGTGTGTGTGTGTGTGTGTGTGTGTGTGTGAGTGTGTGTGTGTGTGTGTGTGTGTGTGTGGTTGTGTGTTACATACACACAGGCATTCACTCGCTGTGATCTGTGGCTCCACATTTTGAAGCATACATGCTGACATCAGCCCTGCATCCTGCCACTCTTCCCGTCCCTTCCTCCCCTCTCCATTCCCTCCCTTCCTCCTTCCTTCGTCCACGCGCACGACAGGTGAACAAGACGCTGCTGTACAAAGGCTACAAAGACCAGCAGCACGGGTACTGCCTTGCACCCATGGGCCACGACAACTGCTGGGCAGAGGTGCTCAAGTAAGTCGGTTCATTCACGCATTCATTCATTCTCTCGTTCATGCAACACCGAGTGCTGTGGCAGTGCTGCAGTGCGTGGTGGCGGTCGCAGATGCTGATAGGAAATGCCTCTTTTGGCGCACAGCTCACTTCGCGTGCCTCCTCCAACTTCTCACATGTTTTCATTCATTGCTTCTTCCCTGCTCCCACAGCTTGATCAACAATGGAGTGGTGCCTCCCAACGCAAACAAGGCGTAATGTGCATGTGTGTGTGTTTGTGTGTGTGTGTGTGTGTGTGTGTGTGTGTGTGTGTGTGTGTGTGTGTGTGTGTGTGTGTGTGTGTGTGTGTGTGTGTGTGTACTGCTTTTTGCGCTCGATGCTGTCGGCGTGACTCCATGTGTCCCTCATCGGTCATACGATCGTTCTATGTTGCACAATGAACGCTCTCAGCACGTATTCATCTTTTCATCTACACATGTACATGTGCACGTGCTGCGTGCGCCACCGTCAAGCTACTCCCCACATCTCCCCCTCCTCTCATCACGAAAGTAACCAAATTCGATAAACGTCATTCGAATACAAACAGCATGTCCGAAGAACGAGCAAAGCACAAACACACACACACACGCGCGCGCGCGCGCGTATGGGCTTCATCAGTGTGTGGGCTGCATGAAGGGCGGGATTGGCGGGGGCGCCGTTGCATGCTGTACGCTCTGCTGCAAAATGTGAATGCATTCACGGCGATCCTGGTGTGCACGGCGACAAAACAGGACAAAGACACAAACAAAAGTTAAGGAGATGGTGAGCATGGCAAACCAGATGTAACACCATCGACGTCCACACACACACACACACACACACACACACACACACACACACACACACACACACACACACACACACACACACACATACATGACACACACACACACTTACACACACACACACACTTACACACACACACATGACACACACTCGTCACACACACACTCTCTCTCTCTCTCACACAACCAAACGCAACCACCTCACCTTGTCTGTGGCAAGATGGAGCGGGGTGCGACCAGACCCATCGCGTGCCATCACGGCTGCACCACGCGAGATGAGACCGCGGCACATGCCTGCTTGCCCCAACAGCGCCGCGTAGTGCAAGGGCGTGCGCCCGTGCTGGTCCGTCTGGTTCACGTCCACACCGCCACCGCCGCCGACGCTGCCACTGCCAGCATTCACCAGCGCGTTGAAGGCATTCATGTCCTGTTTGGACACGGCAATGTGCAGGGCTGCATACCCGCGCGCGTCGGGTTGGTTCAGCACATGCGTGGTGCTCGATCGTATGAGCACGCGCAGGCAGTCCACGCTGGCCAGTTCAACGGCGTAGTGCAGCGGCGTGCGCCCCTCCTTGTCCACGAGCGACGGGTCGGCCTCGTGCTGCAGCAGCAGCTGTGCGTGTGCACTGTGGCCGCACAGCACAGACCAGTGCAGCGGCGTCTGCTGGTGGAGGTCCTGCTGGTTCAGGATGCTTCCCTGGCACACCCGCAGCACAATCTGCAGCACATCGGTGGAGGCTGGCGTGCAGGCCCAGTGCACACACGACTGGCCCTGGTGGTCCGTGGCGTCAGGATCTGCCCCGTGCTTCAGCAGCAGCCGCATCGCGTCTTTGCACCCGTGCGACACCGCCCACAGCAGCGCAGTGCACCCGTTGTCGTCGCACGCGTTCACAATCGCGCCCAGCTTCAGCAGCTGCTTGCAGGCACGCGTGCGCCCCGCCACCACCGCGTAAATCAGCGGCGACCGCCCGAGATCATCCAACTCGTTCACCGCGTCCGGGTCATTGCGTGCAAACGCCTTGAGTGCCGCAATGTCGCCGTTGGCGGCTGCTCGGTGCACAGCAGGCGCATCATCCATCATCAGCACAGGGAGCCGTGAGTCCAGCCCCAGCGCCTCCATCGCCGCAGGGTCGTGATGACCACCACCACCAACACCACCAACACCACCAACACCACCACCATTGCCACCCTGACCATCACCGCCACCGCGCTCGCCATTATCACCGCCACCACCGCTGCGTGTGATGATGTTTGCAAACGACGTGAACGCGGCGGCGCGACGGCGAAGAGCAGAACCACTCGGGCGACGAAGCAGCGATGCCGTGCTGGGACGCGACGCTGACGCTGGTCGGGTACGCGCGCGCTGTGGAGACGACGATGATGATGGTGGTGACGACGATACGTGCTGGTGGTGTGTGTCGTTGAGCGTGGTTGTGTAGTCGTCTGTGGACATGGTGGACGCGAGCGACACCCGTCCACCGCCACCGCCATCGCCCATGCTGCTGCTGTTTGATCGTCCAAACGGCCGCATCGACAACAACGATCGTCGCCGCTGCGGTTTCTGCTGCTGCTGCTGTTGGTGGTGGGGCGGCGGTGGCGACGAGGTTGTGCCAACAGCACCACCAGTTGCGTTGAGGCTGGACGTGCTTGCCCCACGGCTTGTGAGCGGTGACCCCGTGTTGCTTCCGTTGGTGGCTGCAGCCGTGCGTGTCAGGGACGATGACGACGACGAGGGACGCCTGCGCATGCTGCGACGAGCAGAGGATGACGGGCGGCGTCGCATCACGTGGGATCGGCTCGAGCTTGGACGACGCGTGGATGGCGATGACAGCGATGATGATGACCCCCAAGCACGCGACAGTCCCGTGGCGGTGTTGCTGTTTCCGCCGTTTCCACCACCACCACCATCACCACCACCACCACCAACGTATTGCGGCTGATAGTGCTGCTGCTGCTGCTGGGTGTGGTGCAGGGAGGTGCTGCTGTTGTTTCTGTTGATGTTGTTGGCGGCGCCATTCATGATGACGTCACCACTGGCCGGCGCATCGGAGTGGAATTCCTCCATTGGAGAATCAAACGCGTACAGCGCAGAGTCCGAAACATTAAACGTCATCCCTCCACGCACGACCACAAACATGCCCAAATCCAGCAAGTTCTGCCCAACGCTCTGCGCGCGCTGGATGCTGCTCACGCCCTCCATGTTTGCCATGAACCAGCCAGCAGCGTCGGAGCCGCGGAAACACGACGTGTACACCGTTAGGCCCACGCGGTGTGATGCAATCGGGATGCCGGAATTTGGGTCCATCAACGCCATCTTGTACGCGCGCATGCGCTCCTCTTCCTCCTGCTGCGCCTCCGCTGTGCATTGGGGAAAGAATTGGGAATTGGTGGGGGAGGGGGAGGGGGGAGGGTTGGAGTGAGCGAGTGTGTGTGAGTGGTTATGTTGTGTGAATGTGCGTGTGAGATAGACACAGTGCAACAGCCTCAAAAGGAGTGCGAGGTTGTGTCGGCGTGAGTGTGATGAATGTGGGTGAACCGGTTCACCCTCTCTCTTCATCCCCTCCACGGACATCCGTCCTGAACACCATCACCACCTCACCTTCGCGCTGCATCCTGATCTCCTCAGCAGACGGCCGCTGGCGAAGCGACGCCGCCCCCACGTGCGCCGTCACAGCATCCATGTGCTCCTGTTGTGTCAACAACGGGGTGGTGGTGGTGGGTGGTGTTGGGTGTGGGGATCATGTGACTGCTGATTGTGATACATCAGAGCTGGTGGCCCGGGCAAGCACACGCAACTCAAATGTCGTGGAAACACTGCAGGAGGAGAGGGGGAGAAAACAGAGCATCGCACGCACACCCGCAAGACAAGAGCATCGGGCAGGGACAGTAACAACAGCAGTGGCACCAGAAACACAACAGCAGCAGCGGCAACAGACCACGCAGCACACCATTCCACTGCTGTGCCCACCTCATCACTGGAAATGTCGACAGGAATGAGCTCGTTGTCGTCGTCGTCGTCATCACTCAGGAGTGGCCTTGAGTGGCGAGTGCACGTGTTGGTGGCGGCGTGAGAGATGAAACAAAGGACAGTAGTTCGAAATGCTATTGCGTGAGCTGGTGGGGGGGGGCAAGCAAACAACAGCACGCAAGTGTACAAGGTGCACACTTGCACACACACACACACACACACACACACACACGCTGGCACACACACATACCACACCACACAACACCACACTCACACACACGCGCGCACACACACATACCACACCACACAACACCACACTCACACACACACACACACACACACACCTTGCGTCGACGTTCTGCAGCGACAGCGCCGATGGCGATGAATCGTTGCGCTGAAGTCCGCGTGTCGGCTGCTGCTCGCTGCCGTTGCCCCACGCCTGCACCACATGTGGTGGACGTGGCTCACGCATACCATTACCGTGCTGTTGGTGTTGCTGTTGTTGTTGTTGTTGTTGTGATGCCAGAATGCGTCCGTGCACCGAGTTCACCATCGCGGCCACATGTGCAGGAGGAGCAGCAACGCCGCCGGCTCTCGCCTGCTGCCACCGCTGGCCGTTGATCGATACAGCCGTCTTGCTACCGGCACCATTCCCATTCACAACGCCGCCACTGACAGCACCAACAGCACCAACTGCAGCCGTGTTGCTGGCGGCCACGGTGTTCACACCAGCACCACCACCGCTGTTGCGTCGCGGCGGCGGGGGCCGTGGCACCCTGAGCGGCAGCGTCCCCATTGACGGAGACAGCACCGACGACCGGCGACGTGGCATCGACACGGGGGCGCGCGGTGGCTCTTGCTGCTGCTGCTGCTGAAGTTGAGGCTGCTGCTGCTGCTGTTGTTGAAGTTGATGCTGTTGTTGTTGAAGTTGATGCTGTTGTTGTTGTTGCTGCTGCTGCTGCTGCTGTGATTGCTGTTGTGTCTTAACCGTGTCACCATCACCATCGCCGCCCTTGTCACCGCCAGCACCGCTGCCACCGCTCGTGCGCGCGTGCTCGTGTGACCGTCGGAGTCCCATCGATGTCGACGCGCGTGACGATCGCGGGCCCTTTGGCGGCGACGGCGCAAGCGGCAGGGGCGGTGTTGCCTGATGGTGATGGTGATGGTGATGTGGTGCGTGGTGGTGGTGGTGGCGATTGAGACAGTGGTTGTGACGATGTGATGTGGGGTGTCAGCGAGTGGCGTCTTCAGCACACAAGCACACACACACACACGCACACACACACACACGCACACACACACACACACACAGGCGCGCGCGCACGCACTCACACAATCACACACTCACACACTCTCTCCACCACTGTTCACACACCTGCTTTGCATCATCCTGCCCGTTGTTCTGCGCTGTCTCCTTGCTTCCCTTCTCCCCCTCCTGTTTCTGTTTCTCTTCCTCTTCTTTTTCCTTCTGTTTCTCCTCCTCCTTTTCCTTTTCCTTCTGCTGCTGCTGCTGTTGTGCGCGTAGCCACTCCTGTTTTTTCGCCTCAAACGCCCGCTTCTCCGCCTCCAACTTGGCTCGCTCCCGCTCAACCTGCTCCAGCTGCTGCTGCTGTTCCCGGTGCAGCCGTTGCCGCTCGCGCTTCACGGCCTCCTGAAACTCCTCCGTCTCCTCAATGCGACGGCCACCAGTCAGCATCGACGCCTGGCGCCGTATCGGGTGGTCGTGATGATGGTGGTGACGAGAATGCAAAGGAGGTGAGGAGAAGGACGAATGGTGGTGGTCGTGTGATTTCGGCGTTGTCGGTGGAGATGGTGGTGATGACAAGTGCTGACTGACGGAAACACATCACACACACACACATACACACACACACACACACACACACACACCACACCACGTGAGCGAGTACGGCACCTGCAACTCTGCAATCTGCGTCTCCAGCTGCTCCTTCTCGCGTGTTGCTTGCTCAACCATTCGTGTCTTTCGCTCGAGCTCCCCCGCCATTGCGGACGAGTCGACCGCCATCGCAGACTGGTGTTGGTGGTGTTGATGGTGATGGTGGTGAGCATGATCGTGTGACCCATCGCGGGTGCACGCTGTGCACACGTCCACAACACACATACACACATACACACACACCACACCACCACGCATGCACATCACACCACACCACCCCACCACACCACAGCCCCTCAACTTCTGCGCCCGCCGCAACACGGATACCTTCTCGAGCATTGCTCTGAGCCGCTTGACCTCCGACTGGTACGCGCTGAGCATGGCTGTGTCGCTCTTGTCCTCGTTGCGCTTCACCACATTCTTGACAGAGCGGGCCACGTTTGCAAACTGCAGCGTGGACGTGGACTCCTGGAGACAGTCCGATGAGGGCGAGATGGTCGAGATCATCGTCGTCAGGCAGTTGCCGCCCAAGCTGATGGTGTTTTGAGGGGGGGGGGGTGGTAGTGTGGTGGTGGTGGGGTATGTGAGCAAAGGAAATGTCAGTGAGAAGCCACACACATGCACACACGCGCACAAACATACACAATCACACACGCAATCACACACGCACCTGTCCTGGAGGATGCGTGTGAGCTTTGAGTCACGATATGGGGTGTGAACGCGCGATTTCGCCGTGAGCGCAATCACAACTTTCCCAAACGCGGACAGGGACGTGTTGATGTTTGTTGTCTCGCGTTGTCGCGTTGAATCCGAGGACGCCTCAAACCGCTCGCTGCCGGCCAGGTCAACAAGGTGCTGATGGCGGTGGGGGGTTGGTTGAGGTGGTTGGTGGTGATAAGGGTGTAATGGTGATGAGTGATGGGGGAGGGTTGTTGTTGTTGGCGGGTGATGATGACAGTGGTAAGTGGCGGTGATGGGTCCGGAGCGGGGGTGTGCATTCATTGAGTGAACGGCAGCTTGGGCAGTGGGGCGAGCCAAGCCACAGCACAACACAGACGATGAAAACAACCACCGCCACTGACCACCAGCTACCATCATGGAGCGAGAGTCGCACCAGTTTGCCGACGGTGACGGTGGTGCCATCCTCCTTCTCCTCAGACCGCTCAACAATGATCGTGAACACTGCATGGCTAATGATGATGACGATGATGATGATGGTGGCGGTGGTGGTGGTAGCAGTGGTGGTGGTGGTGGCGGTGATGGGGACATGAGTTGTTGCGGACACTACGACACACACACACATACACACACACACTCGCACACACGCACGCACACACACACACATACACGCAAACACACGCACGCACGCACGCACGCAGACCAATCACACAGCCACACCTTCGGCTTGACGTTTCGTTCTTGCGCGTGCTGTTTGTTTTCCGCTGCTGCTTCCCGCGCGACAACAGCGCATGCACGTCCTCCACGCGCCGCGCCACGTGCTCCGACAGGTCCTGATGCAAACACGACCACCGCAATCATCGCCAGCGCAGGGTACATGAGGAAGCATGTGTGATATTGTAGAGATGCGTGTGCATGTGTGTGTGTGTGCGCGTTGGCACGTCTGCTACATGCAGCAGCTGCTGCACCGTGCATGCAAGCATCTAATACGCACATACACACACATATACACTCACACACCCTGCCCAATGTCTCACCTGCACCCACACGCCGCGTGCGCCCTCTCTGATCTTCAGGTTGTCCTTGTCCGCGTCAAGCAAGTCAGACACGCTTTGGGTGGTGGTGGTGGTGGTGGCGGTGGGGTTGTTGTGGTGGTGGTGGTGTGAGTAGGGTGCGTGCATCGTACACACGTGACATGAGGCATAGGTTTGTTCACGCACACATTCACATACATACACACGCATTCACATACACACAAACACACACACATACACACACATACACACATAGGCAAAACGATGCAGTGCCGCCTCCCCTGTGTCTCACCGCTCGTTGTAGATCTGCAGGAAGGAGACGCGGACGAGCCACTGGCAGCGCGCATCCGAAGCATCCTGACGCCGTGATGGTCGGGGTGATGATGACGTATGCGTGCAGTGAGAGTGTGTAAGACAGGAGCTAAGGTATCAAATGGTGCGAACACACACATACACGCATACACGCACACACACACACACACACACACACGTACGCACAAACGTACGCACAAACGCAAAACAAAACACACACACACACACACAACACCTGGATGTGTTGAAAGACGCGGTGGACGGCGCGCGGGATGATGCCCTGATGTTCGCCTTTGAGGTCGCCCTCAATCGTAAACGTCTTGCCCGTGCCCGTCTGCCCATATGCAATCACGCTCCCGTTGTACCCTGTGTGTGTGTGTGTGTGTGTGTGTGTGTGTGTGTGTGTGTGTGTGTGTGTGTGTGTGTGTGTGTGTGTGTGTGTGTGTGTGTGTGTGTGTGTGTGTGCATTTGTATCCCTTAACAGCTGCCATCAGCATGTTAAAAGACGCATTGAAAGGCATGTTCACCGTCACCTTCAAGAACAGAGTCGACCACGGGCGATACAGCTGTGCTGAACACTGTCGTCTGCGCATCGTTCTCTCCAAACACCCTGCGGTCAGTGATAACAGCATGCCGTGAACACAGGAAACCCGGCACCATCACACATGCATGTTGCTTCACACACACATACACGCACACACACACACATACACGCACACACATACACATACACACATACACACACAGACATACACACATACACGCACACACATACACGCACACACATACACATGCTCACACATACACACATACACACATACACACATACACACACATACACACATACACACACATACACGCACACACCTGTCGTAGCTGAAGGTGAGGGGTCGAACCGCAGATGAAGCGGGTCGATCCGCCCGACCCCCGCCAGACTTGGGCTGTAAGCAACACACAGACGACCATGAAGATGAGAGATGCGCGCGTGCTCGTCAATATGACACACGTGCAGGCATTGTGTTCGTGACGGAGGCAAGCAGGTGGAACATGATGGTGTCATCTTCGGAGAAGAGTGCTGCAAGCACAATACAGCAGCACGTGCATGTCGTCTACAACACGCATGGCGCCGAGTCCTCTCACCTTGTGCACGATGACGTGCGTCTCGTCAGCAATCTCAACGCAGTGTGCATATCGACCTTCCCGCTCGCGCTTGTTCATGGGACGCACGCGCACGCACACCTTCACATTGCACCCTGCACAATGTGAACCAACACGTGAGCCGTACGGAACTCAAGACCACGTGTACAGATGACAGCCATGCATGCGTGCACAAGCAGAGACAAGTCTACGCACTATGACACACACGATATCACACACACGCACGCACGCGCAAACACACATGTCGCACCTTTTTGTGTTTCGAAGATGGTGCTTGGAGCAGCAGGCGCTGTGCTCGCCGCAGTGGTGGTGGTGGTGGCGGGCACCTGTGTGCCTGGGTCACGGCTCATTGCACCCCGACATGCAGCAGTCAGCAGCGCACAGGACAAAGCGGGTGCGTGTGTGTGCGTGTGTATGTGTGTGTGTGTGTCTGTGTCTGTGCGTGTGTGCGTGTGTGCGTGTGTGCGTGTGTGCGTGCGTGCGTGTGTGTGTGTGTCTTGGGGAAGGTGTTGTTTTCGTTTCCACGCAAATCCTCAAACAAGAAGGACAGCAACAAAGCAAGCAAGTCGTGATGATGATGGGGATGATGTGTGCGTGGATGATGATGGTGATGATGGTGACGGTGTGCATGGCACTCTGAGATGCTGATGAAGATGTGCTCTTGGCGTGTGCTTCCACACACACACACACACACACACACACACACACACACACACACACACACACACACACGCACACACACACTCCTTTTCACACCACACCACTCTTATTCGGTTAGGATGGCAGCGAAGAAGATCAAGGGCGACATCTCGTGGGCGGTCGCGGAGGAAGCACTGGCGGATACACGAAACAAGTTTCATGCCAAACGAACTGCCCAGGGCTACCAGACAGTGCGTATCTTCGTGTGTGTGTGTGTGTTTGTCTGTCTGTCTGTCTGTCTGTGTGTGCGTGTATGTGTGTGTGTCTGTGTGTCTGTGTGTCTGTGTCTGCCTATCTGCCTGTGTCTATCTGTCTGTCTGTCTGTCTGTCTGTCTGTCTGTCTGCATGGCCTGTGACATCGCCCTTCGCCCTTTACCAACCCTCCCCACACACACCCTTTCCCCCGTGTCCCCCCCCCCCACCTTCAAGGTGAAGGACGATGGCGTGGTGCATATGGAGCGACTTGCAAAGCGAGAGCTCAAGGCGGCTGGCGTAGAGCACAAAGTCGAATGCATCAGACTCACAAGTGCGCCACTCTGCTCAAATCCCATGACCATGCGTGCTCTTGCCTTCTTACTTGCCTTCTTGCTTGCCTTCTTGCTTGCCTTCTTGCTTTCTTGCTTTCTTGTCTGGCTCTGTGTGCGTGCGTGTCTGGTGTTGCCTCCACAACAACAAACAAGTACGTGATTCCGCTGCTCACCCCAATCACATGCATGTGCATCGAGCAGCTGTGGTTGACATTCCCCCGTCTGAAGCGACCCGCCTCCTCAACGACTATGAAGTTCGCAAGACGGTTAGCGCACACACTTGTGTGTGTGTGAGTGTGTGTGGTTGGGTGTGAACAAGCGTCCACTCTTCGCTCCGCGCCTCGTTGATTCGCCTTCATTTGGTTTCATCTTGTTTGCCATCTCGATACGCGCGTGCACGCATATGCCAGTGGGAGGACACACTGACCAAGGAGTCACGATCAGACGTCGTGGTGCTGGAGCGGGACAACCAAACTGTGCAAGGTGTGATGTGTGTGTATGCGTGTGTGTCTGTGTGTGTCTGTGTGTCTATGTGTATGTATGTGTCTATGTGTGTGTGTGTGTGTGTGTGCACTGGCTGACCGAAATGCACTCTCGTCTCCTCATACACCCACGTCCAACCATCCCTTCAATCACCCCTTCAATCACCACAACCCCGTCTTCAACGACTCAATCAGTGATCCGCACACTCTCCAACGCCGCGCTGGGCGGTCTCATCTCCCCACGCGAATTCATCGACCTCGCCTGGACAGAGTGAGCACTTCTGCCACATGTGTGTGTGTGTGTGTGTGTCTGTGTGTCTGTGTGTCTGTGTGTGTCTGTGTGTGTCTGTGTGTGTCTGTGTGTGTGTTTGTATCTGCCTGTCTGTGTGTCGTTCTGTCCGTACGCCTGCCGGCATGTCTTCAGAGTGTTGGGCGTCAGTGATGGGATGCAAGACGATGATTCGATCACAGCATGGGGGGCCGTGAGCAGACAGGCACGCATGCATGCCCCCACCGCCACCACACACACACACACACACACACACACACACACACACACATACACATACACACACACACACACACACATACACACACACTTAGGGTTCAAGATGATGGCTCCATTCTTCACTTTGCACAGAGCATTGACCACCCAGACTTCCCGCACACCAAGGTACATGGGACCTGATGAACATGTTGGTGATGCCTGCATGAACATGTGTGTCCGTCTGTCTGTCTGTCAATTGAGGTTGCGCAGCTCACAGCTTACGCGCACGCTGACACACACACGCACACTCCGACACTGACACACGCGCACACACGCATGCACGCTGACACACACACGCACACACACTGACACACACACGCGCGCGCTTGCACGACACTTATCCACACATTAGGGCTTTGTGCGTGGCGTGAACTTCCCCTGTGGTATGCTGTATGAGCCAGTGCCTGCAAGCAACGACGACGACGATGACAACGGCGGTGACGGTGAAGGAGACAAGCACACACGCACAAAGCTGACATACATTATTCACTCGGATGTTGGTGGGTGGTTGCCTGCGTCGCTGGTGTTCAAAGGCACGACCACCACCATGTGGACTATCCTGCAGTCCTTGCACGCACACATCCGCGCCCGGCAAGCCGCATGAAGTGACTGTGATGTCACGGGCAATTGTGTGTCTGTGTGTGTGTGTGTGTGTGTGTCTGTCTGTCTGTCTGTGTCTGTGTCTGTGTCTGTGTGTGTCTGTGTCTGTGTCTGTGTGTGTGTGTGTGTCTGTGTCTGTGTCTGTGTCTGTGTGTCTGTGTCTGTGTCTGTGTCTCTGTGTGTGTGTCTGTGTCTGTGTCTGTCTGTGTCTATGTGCCTGTGCGTATGTCTGTCTGTGTCCGTATGTCTCCCCTCTTCCGCTGCGCATGCTGCGCATGTTGCTGCTTCCGTCAACTTCATGTATTGGCCAATACACAGCGAATACACCCTCTATCTGGCTTGCATCTGAATACCAACACACACACACACACACACACACACACACACAACACAAGAACACACACACGCAAACGCACACAAACACACACACACAACACAACACACATACACACGGCGCGTGCCGCGTCAGCAGCCCGGGTTGACGATGGCGACGGTCTCAGCATCGAATGGGATCATGTAGACAAGCCCGTTGTTGGCGAGCACGCCGCCCCAATACTGGTCGAGTCCAGCAGGCACCGTGGCGGTGGTGATGTCAATGGTGTTGGTGATCGTGTCCACCACCAACACGTTAGGCACCTGGTTCGGCACGCCCACGACGACCCCGTTTGGCGCAAGCACGCCACCGCGCCACTTGGCCGGCGTGGACGCCTCGAGCGGCGTGTTCGCAAGGGTGACCGTTGTGGTGTCCGTGATGTTGGCGACAGGGTCGATGATGAGCACCGATTGGGCGGCGAAGGGAAGAGCGTAGATGAGCCCGCCTGCGCTGAGCACCACACCCGCCCACCCGCTTGATGCTGGGGCGGGTGACACAGGCAGGCTGCTGACGGTGTTGGTGTTGGGGTCAACGACAAGCACGCTCGTGCCATCAAATGGGGGTGCGTAGATGAGGCCAGTCCCTGCAACCACGGCACCATACCACCGTGCATTTCCGCTGCCAAAGTCACCCTCCGTGATGGCTGTTGTCGTGTTGGTGCTGGGGTCGATGACCAGCACCACGGGGAAGCCCCACGGCATGCCGTAGATGAGGCCGTTGTCGGCTTCGACGCCGCTGAGCCACCGGCCGGCTCCGGGCCGTGGGAGCGCGGTGGTGTCGGCTCTGTTGGTGGCTGGGTCGATCACCAGCACGTGCGACGCCGCGTGCGGGAAGCCATAGATGAGGCCGTCCCTGGCGAGCACACCACCACCCCACTGCGTCAGCCCGTTGCTGACATCGGGCATGCTGGTGGTGTCGGCGGTGTTGGTGGCAGGGTCGATGATCAGCACCGCACTGGCCTGATATGGCATGCCGTAGATGAGCCCATTGTCCGCCAGCACGCCGCCAATCCACTTGTTTGGGCCCGTGCTGTCTGCTCCGATGGTGATGGCCGTCACGTTTGCGGTGGGCGGGCACACCTTTGGCCGCAGGCCCGCGATCCGCCGCTGCTGCTGCTCCAGCGTGCGCTGCTGCTGCGACAGCTGCTTTGCCTGCGCCTCGATCGTGCTCGCTTGCGCCAGCAGCGTGGCCACCAAGTCCTCGCCATTGACATACACGGGCTGCAACGACGGGTCGCTCGTGTTCACGTGCAGCGCACCCACCTCGTCCTCCACAATTGCTACGTCCCCACTGCACAGCACAGCGCCCAGCGCCACGCACAGCACCACACTCAACATCATGGCGTGTGGTGTGTGTGTGTGTGTGTGTGTGTGTGTGTGTGTGTGTGTGTGTGTGTGTGTGTGTGTGTGTGTGTGTGTGTGTGTGTGTGTGTGTGTGTGTGTGTGTGTGTGTGTGTGTGTGTGTGTGTGTGTGTGTGTGTGTGTGTGTGTGTGTGTGTGTGTGTGTGGGGACAGCTCGAAAAGTACACTTTTGAAAATGGAATCTGCCGCATGGACAAAAGGGCTTTGACTTCGCGCCACGCGTGAGTTCAGATTGCGTTAAGCTGTGCCCATGCGCTTCTAACGCAACTCCACGCAGCCTCGGAGGCACACGCAAACGGGTTGGGTGGGTTGCACGGCAAACGCTTTCCGCTTTGCAGGGCTTTCCACATTGCAGGTGCAATTTGCAATTTGCAACACAGGATATGGCGCATCAAGGCGCAAAACAAACAACCAAGAAGCAAGAAGGACAGTGTGATCGCATTCAGTGGCACTGACAGTGGCAGTGCAAGCCATGGATGTTGTTGAAGCAAGTAACAACGCTGCGTTGCGGGCTGCTTACGCCAAGCTTGCCAAGGGTACCCGCTTCATCTCCAAGGAGCAGGTGCAGGAGGCTGTCTCGGAGATTGCTGTTCGCTTCGGCGTTAATCACATTGTGAGTGAGTGTTATGTTGTTGTTGTTGCAGCGTGTTGTGTTTCATGCCGTGTTGCCGTGTGTGCTTCGCGTGGCATTGTGGCAGCGTGCTGTGTCTCATGCCGGGTTGTCGTGTGTTGTGTGTGCTTCGCGTGGCGCTTTGTGGCGTGGCGGTTGTGTGGTTCATGTGTGGTGATTGGCACGCTCGAGCGTGCGTTTGATTTCGCATGGGCATGCGAAGAAACAGCGTCCTGTTCACCCTGTGGTGTCTCGCGGAATGTGTTAACGTGCCACTTGTCCAGGTGAAGGCAACGGATTCGAGGACATACCGCGTGAGATGCGACAACAAAGCCTGGACAAAGCAGCAACAACAGAGGAAACACCCAAGCACCTGCGCCTATGCCATTCACGCCAACAAACAAACCGTCAGCGGCGCGTGGGAGATCACCGAGGCACGGCACCACACTTGCTGGCTCGCACAGGACAGTGAACATGAGCTTGGGCGCCGCCGTGTTCGTCCACAGACCCTCGCCCGCTTTGATCGAACCATGATAGGTACTCCTCGCTGCAACCAAGTGATCACTTATGCGTGTGCGTTTGTCATGTGGACAACTCGCGTCAGTTGCCCTCGGTATCTCACTGTTGCCCCTCCCTCTCTCTACACTGCGCGACATGTCTTCTTGCAGGAAACCCCGCTGCTCAGGTACAACAAGTCAGTGCCCGCTACGGCCTAACCATGTCGGGTTCCCAGATGGCAGAGTACGCAGCACAAGCTCAAGGCAGAACTCACGTCAAGCGGCAGGAGGAGTTTGACAGACTGCACTCGTTCGTTCGTGAGTTTGGTTGCGAACTTGTGGGTGTGTGTCTGTCTGTCTGTGTGTGTCTGTCTGTGCCTGTCTGTGTCTGTGCCTGTGTGTCTGTGTGTGTGTATACACGTGTGTATGTACACGTGTGTGTACACAAGTATGTATGTGTTTGCGTCTGTGTGTACGTACACGTGCGCGCGTTTGTATGTACACGCATGTGCGTGCGTGCGTGCGTGTGTTTACATGCATGCACGTGTTTGTTTTGCCGTTGTTGCTTCAACACACTCAAGTATGCATACCACTGCGCTGATGGTCGTGCAGAGTGGATCAATGCAAATGGACATCATGCAGCGCACCTGATGACCAAAGACGGTGCATTTAGCGAGCTTCTGTTCTGCCTAAAGCTGAATGGTTTGTCGGCCAAGTCTCCAAAGGTCCTGTTCACGGACGCGACGCATCTGTCGTACAACAACATGATGCTCCACCTCTTGTGCCAACTGGACGCAGACAACAAGATCTTCATTCTGGGCGCCAACATAACCCAGCAGGTAACACCCTGTACGCATGTGCGCACGCGTGTGCATGTGTGTGTATGTCTGTCTGTGTCTGTGTGTGTGTGTGTGTGTGTGTGTGTGTGTGTGTACACGTGTGTGTGTATGGTGTGCGTGTGTGTGTGTGCACAGGCATACATATGCGTGTGTGTGTGTACACGTGTGTGTGTATGGTGTGCGTGTATGTGTGTCTCTGTATCTCTGTGTCTCTGTGCGTATGTGTGCGTGTGTGTGTGCGTGTGTGTGCGTGTGTGTGTGTGTGTGTGTGTGTGTACACGTGTGTGTACACGTGTGTGTGTATGGTGTGCGTGTATGTGTGTCTCTGTATCTCTGTGTCTCTGTGTCTGTGTGTCTGTGTGTACACGTGTGTGTGCATACATGTGTGTGTACACGTGTGTGTATGGTGTGCGTGTATGTGTGTGCACAGGCATACATATGCGTGTGCATGTGTGTGTCTGTTTGTCTGTTTGTCTGTGTGCGTGTCTGTGTGTCTGTGTGTCTCTGCATCTTTGTGTCTCTGTGTGCGTGGGTGCGTGTGTATGTGTGCATGTGTGTGCGGCGCCACCTTGGAACTCATCGTGTACCTGCATCGATGTGACGTATGCCTTTTACTTGCAGGAAACCAAGCCCGCTTACGCACACTTGTTCCAGCTCTGTTTATCGGTCATGCCCCCACTTTGGGTGAGTCTCCATGTCCATGTATGCATGCACTTGTGCCCGTGTGCGCGTGTGTATGAACGCCTGCCTTGCTGCGTGTGCACGTGACCGGTGTTTATTCGCCTCCACGCACGCACATGCACACGCACTTACACGCACATGCATACGCTCACGCTCACACTCTCACACGCACACTCACACGCACATGCACACGCGTGCGCACACATGCACACTTACACGTACATACACACGCACTTACTCACATACATACACACACACACACTTGCAGGGCGAGCATACGATTCTCTCGGATTTAGGGACTGCTGTGACCAGCGCAATCAACGAAATACCCATGTGGCACCACGGCATGTGCTCCGTGCACATGCGAAGGGCGTCTGGGGCACCAGCAACTCTTTGATGCAGCCATGAAATGCAACCTCCGTGAGTGACCTGGAGAAAGCCCTGGAACGATACAGGACACAGGCGCCGAAGGAAGCTGCTCGCGTGAAGAACCGCATTTGCAACCTGAGCCCTCTTCTACACCCACTCGGAACGTACGAATCGCACGACCCGACACGACCGCGTGCTTGCATTGACACGCATGTGCACAGCGCTCGCACGACATGACCACACATGAGCGCGCACATATACTTGCACACTTGCGAGCACGCACGCACACACACACACACATGCACACACGCACGCATGCACTTGCACACTTGCGACCACGCACACACGCGCGCGCGCAAGCATACGCACACACACACGCATGCACACACATGCACACACACACACACACGAGGCGACCACATGCACTTGCACACTTGCGACAACGTATACACACACACATGCACACACGCGCGCGCGCATGCACTTGTATACTTGCGACCACGCACACACGCGCGCAAG